ACTTATCCAACCGCCGACCCAAATCCGACCGGCACTCCGACGTCCGACCTCGCTGACCCAGTCCGACCCCAAACCGCCGGCCGACTTCAAGTTTTCAACCCTAGATTTTTATTTTAAGGTATATTTTATGTTTTTTCTTTGATTCCTTTTTCTCAGTAGACATAAGCAAGTGTTAGAGTTATTTTGGATGAATTTAGATACTCTAAATGTTGTTAATAATTTAGTAAGTATAGATTTTTTAGGGTAGATCGAAGATAGAAATAATTTTTTTATTAGATTAAATAAAGATTTGACGCTTATAATAGGACATAGCGGAGAAAAATATCATGCAATGTGGAATAATACTAGTTGTTGTTGAACTTATGCATAAATAAGTAAAATCAATAAAATTGAAATAAAAATAATTTATTATATTCAGCAAAAAGAAAAATTGAAAAAATGAATTGCAATTGAATTTCTTTTTGATTACTTACCTCTCAAATTAGCATCGATAAAGTTTTGAGGCTGCGTCCAATGAGCCGTAGAAATTATATGTTGAAAACGAGGTTACATTGCCAAACCTTACAGCTAGGAAGTAGCTTTCCACAACAGGCCATTCCCTTTGCAAAACAACTTACCACCAGCTAGATTATTATTTTTGCACCACTAAAACATTATAACAATATATAATATATGGCTCGGAATTAATTATCCTCATATCAGGTCAAAATAAAAAGTAATGTTTGTAACTCTCTATAATATGTACCTTGTAATTTCCTTGAGCTCTCTTGTGCTAAATGCTTTGGGTCATGTTGAAGTCTCAAATGAAAATCTCAAGCAAGATTGGGTCCACATCAAGCTCCTTTCATGTTTGCAAGCCATGCTCGATGGAACGCATGAGATTGAAGCTTATGAATTTCTATGTGCAAAGAAAGCCTCCAAGCTTAGGGCTATGAGTTTTGCAAGCATTGGGATTGTTGAAGCAAATTTCGATCTCATACAATTCATTTAGATGCTTCAGTGCAAGTTTCATTTGCTTTCATCACTATCGATCTTCTCCCATAGATAGAAATGAAGTTTCATTATAGACTAATAGTCCTTTTTTGATCAACTTGAAAAACACAAGGCTTTGATATAGCATCAACAATTCAAGTTTAACCTTCAACTCCCCTCTCTAGTCTTGATCAACGTAGAAGAATCAGCACAAACAAAAGCATACAGATTGTTATTTCCTAATAAATATTTTCATAACTTATGTAGGTGGACGTTTGCTTCACGTCCAAATGACTATCCCAAGAGAGAGATATTGGATGTTATACACAGATTGTTGCAACAGCGTCGACAAAGGGATTGACAGTGAATTTTAATAGAGGAGAGTTGAAACTTTTCATTCAAGTTGCATCTCAACTGCTTCCTTATCAGTTTGATAAGATGTTTAGAATTGCCAATGTTCGAAATCATAAAAGATCTATGCATTCTCAAGCCCGATGATGTGAAGCTTGATTTATATCGTAGGGGATTTCCTTCCAAACTAATTGATTTGGACATCACATGGCGAGTACGACGCCATAAGAGATGGTCATACCATTCTCTACAACTTATGAAACATTTGATGAAGATCAAATGAGTAGTACCCTATGAAACCTTATTTTTGATGTAGCAGATCATAATTTAAGTTCTGATGTGGAAGAGCCACCAAATGCAGAGACACAAAAATTCTTTGATTATTACATTCAGCTCAAAAGCCAATTTGGGAAGGTTGCAGTACAGATTCGAAATATTCCATGTAGTGAGGATGCTAGGTAGTAAAAATTGAGTATATATTCCCCGTGAGTGTTTTAATGACGTTATTGTCTTATGAAGGAACATAATCCAGCTGGCAATTTAATTCCCTCAGACTTGACCGAACAAAGAAATTAGTACCAAGATGGGTCTTCACGGCTACAAGATTTGATTGTTATAGAATGATGTATGTTATACTATAAAGATGATGCAGTAGAAGTTGTTTGTCGCACCTGCAATGCTCCTCGTTAAGCAAAACTCGGGAAAACAACGTCATCCAAAGAAAGATGTGCCATATTTCCGTTTGTTTTATTTACCAATCATTCCAAGACTTCAGCGGCTCTATGCATCAATGAGGTTCAGCAGGGCATATGAGTACATAAGGAGAAAATAGCAAAAAAAGTGATGTTCTTTCTCATCCATCAGATGCTAAAGCATGTAAACATTTTGATCGAGTGCATCCTAATTTTGATGCCTGAAATCCCGCAACATAAGATTGGATTATGTACTGATGGTTTTACTCCTATAAGTCAAACAGCTACACTATATTTCTTATTGGCCAGTTATATTAACACCATACAACCTTCCACCAGAGATGTGTATGATACTCCGTTCATATCTTAACTCTGATATACCTGGACCACATAATCGAAAAGCAAAGATTGATATTCTTTGCACCATTAATTATGACCTCAAATTATTATGGGAAGAAGGAGTGCTCACATATGACATATCAACAAAATAAAATTTTCTCCTTCAAGCTGCTTTACTGTGACTATCGGTGATTTTTCAGCTTATGGTATGTTGTCTGGTTGGAGCAGCAGGGAAATTAGCATGTCCTTACTGCATGAGAGAACAGTAAAGCTTTCACATTAAAACATGGAGGGAAAATATACTGGTTTGATTGTCATCGTATGTTTCTAAGGCTAATCATCAGTTCCGAAGAAATAAGGAAGCATTATTAAAAACAGAATTGAGCGATCACTCCTCCACCCAGATTAAGTGGTATGATATACTACAGAGACTTTCCAACATTCCAACAATTATTGATTATCCAATGCTATCCGAATCTAAATATTCGGCGTTATGGCTGTCAACATAATTGGATTAAAAAAAAGTATTTTCAGACCAATACCTTATTGGAGAACTAATTTGATAAGCAAATAACTTGTATGTTATGCACATTGAGAAGAATTTCTGGATAATATTTTTAATACAATTATGGACGTTAAAGGCAAGAGAGTAAGATAATGTCAAAGCAAGGAATGGACATTAAAGAGTTTGTCAGAGAAAAATCTGGAGTTAGTAACAACAACTGACGGAAAACAATGAAGCCAAAAGCTCCTTACTCTTTCACGTGTAGAGCAAAAAAGAATGATATCAGTGGTTTAAAGGTTTAAAGATGCCTGATGGCTATGGATCAAATATAAAGCCGATTGTGTGACTTGAAATCTACAGGTTATTTGGACTCAAAAGTCATGATTGTCACATAATTATGGAGGTTCTTCTTTCCGATATAGTCTGTATGTTACCCGATTACATATAATCCATTGATTGAGCTTAGCATTTTCTTCAAAGATTTTGTTCATCTAACTAAGTGAAAAATGCTTTACGGAGGTACGAGGATAACATACCAATCATCCTATACAAAATTAGAGAAGATATTTCCCCGGTTTTTTTTGATTTCTATGGAACACTCTTCCAGTCCATCTACCTTACAAGCTAGAGTTGGTGGACCTGTACAATATCGTTGGATGTATCCTTTCCAAAAGTAAATGGTAGCTTAAGATTTTATTTAATTCTTCAATATTTTTGAATTAATAGAGATAACATATTTTTATTAACTTCACGATGATTGTAATGATTAATAGATATCTGAACAAGTTGAAGAAATATATAAGAATAAACGACGACCAGAAGGATCGATATGTGAAGCATATTTGTCTCAAGAAATAACTCACTTTTGCTCCCTAATATTTCGAGCCACATGTAGAGTACAAGAACAAAAATTGGTCGTAACATGGACTTCGATGTAGAAGAACATTCACATGCTACACTATTCAGTATTTAGAAGGCAAGGAAAGCCTAGTGGCAATGTGTTGAAAGATATCTCAACGATTTAGAAATAAATACAGCGGGAATTGTGTGTATTACATACTGAACTGGAAGAAGTTGAGCCAATATTAGAGTAAGTTTCTAACATAATTTACATAATTAATTAGTAATGTTTATTTAAAATACTAAAGTATTATTTGTCACCAGGTATTTCGTAAGCAATTTGCCTTTGACAGATTCAGGGATATTGAAAAAGCTGTGCAAATGAATTTTCCAACTTGGTTCAGATCATATGTGAGCACAGTTTTTTTTTAAAATTTAAATATTATTTATTATAAAAAATACTAAATATTGAATATTTTTTTAGGTACAAAATCTGATAACAAATGTTTCGATAAATGTTGCAAGCATTAGCTGGGTCAATGCGAAAAGTTAAAACTTGGCCAATATATATAGTGAATGGTTCAAATTTCATACCAAATCGTGGGAGTGAAGGAAGAAAAACTGAAAATTGTGGAGTATGTGTATGAGGGAACACTCATGAAGAAGATGTGAATTATTATGGTATTCTGAATGAGGTCCTTGACTTGGAGTACCCAGGCGAAGATGAGAATTTTGTATGCTTATTTAACTGTCAATGGTATGATCCAGTACAGAATAGAGGCACAAGGGTTCATCCTGCATATGGTTTAGTAGATGTTAAACATAGTAGAAGATACAGAAAGTTTGATCCATTTGTGTTAGCAAGTCAAGCTATTCAAGTTTATTTCAGCAAATATCCCAGTGGTCGTAGAGACAAACAAGATTGGCTAGCTGTTATAAAAACAAAAGCACGGGGAATAATTGATCAACAATACATTGTAGCAACTACACATCAAGAGGATGAGATGTCAAGTTGTATGCCTGTTGAAATTGAGGAGATGACAACTACAACCTCTACTATTGAAATGGAGTTAGAAGATGTGAATAGTTCAACTAGTTCAGGCGAAGAAGAGAACGAGGATGAAAGTGAAGATACCCTTGAGAGTGATGAAAATAGTTTTGATGATTCTGATTAGTTTTTGTAATTTAGAATTGTAGAATTTTAATGTTTTGTAATATTTAAACTTCTTAGAAATGAAATTGTTATTTACCAGCTTGTATTTTATTAACTGCTTTATTAATTGCTTCTCGTAATTTATTACCTGCTTCATTAACTGCTTTATTAAAGGAACCGGCGGTTAACCGGCGGAGGGCGGCAATTTTAAAAACAAACGACGACTGAATATACCGCCGGGGAACCATCGGTAAATAGACCTCCGGTGAGCCGTCGGTCAAATAACCGGCGGCTTGACGGCCGAAAAATCGTCAGTCCAAATTCCGGTTGAAACTGGCGGTCCAAACCGCCGGCAAACCGCTGGCTTCATAAACCGCTGGTAAAAAATCGCCGGTGAAAGTTTCCTACGCGACTTTTTCCGGCGGCCCAAGAACCGTCGTAAAGCCGTCGGTAGTCTAAAAAACCGTCGGTTAAAATAGGATAACCGCCGGAAAAAACCGCCGGATTTCGGCATTTTTCATGTAGTGTGAATTGTACCTTGTGGTGCCTGTGAAAGTTTATTAGGGATGTTAAGCCCTATATAACTAGCCCAAGGCTAAATAAAGAGAGTGGTGAATCAGTAAAGAAGAAACTTTAAGTAAAGTACAAACCAAAATCACCACAAAAAAATGAGAAAATTAAATGTGGAAGCAAATAATAAGAAAGAACACACCAGATTTATAGTGGTTCGGTCAAACCTTGACCTACGTCCACTCCTTGGAGGCACCATCCAAGTATTGCACTAAAATAAGTGTCTCTCCTTTAGCCCCCACAGCTAGGCGGAGAAGCCCTTACAAAATCACTTCCACCTTCCCTGGTGCGGCGGAGTCGCCGGGTCCTTTGACATCAAAGAGATCTTCTCCTTTGGTGAACTTCCCTCGAGACAAGCCTTGAATCCGATGGTATTAAGGTGCAAGCCTACCGAAGCAACTGTATGGAATCCCCCCTCACTGGATCTTCTCCCTCTCTCAGACTTCACCCATTCCTCACTCCCTTTCAAGCTTTCTCTTCAAGTTTCCCCCACAAGAACGAAGCTACAATGGTTACCAAAGACACTTACAAAGTGTCATGCCAAGCTTAAATAGAAAAGCTCAAAATGATCTTATTAATGCAAGTTGCCGACATTATCATCCAGGACGATAGGTATATCATCCTGGCCGATCAGTACAAATTCAGCTCATCAGCCCGGGATAATTTGGGACGATTAGAAGAAAATTGGTTACATTATCCTGGCCGATAACACTATCGTCCAGGCCGATTAATTTAAAACTGATTTCAATCGTCCTGATCATCGTCTTAAATTCTAGCTATCTGATGTAGATCGTTCAGGACATCGTCCCGGCTAATCCGGTGATTTTCCTGGACGATGTGATCGTATCAATCAACCATTAATACTTTCCAAAGATATCAGATTAATTTAGGCATAATTGAGTTAGATCGGCCTGGATGATATGAATATCATCCTGGCTGATTTCCTAAAACAAAGAATTCATAAACTGATTATGGCGGCTGATTCTTTCTGAATTGAGACTATCGTCTTGGCCGATATAGGTATCGTCCAGGCAAATTAGCTAATGACGATTGCCTTAATGAGGATGACCTAATTAGGGTTTCTATTTTTGGATAGATCGTCCCGGATGATGTTACCAAAAATAGAAATCTTTAGGGTATAATAGAACATCTTCCAAGATTAAAAATCATCTAGTACCACACCAAATGCAACAGACTCAAGAAAGGAAAAAAGAGTATAAACTGACTCAGACCTAGTCTACCCAATCTTGAGCTGATTCCAAATTGCAGTCCAATCGTGTGAACCTGAAATGTCCTACATAAGGCAGTCGTAGAGAAATAAGAATGTTTGCTATCATCAAAATCATAAGCCATAGATCCGCAATAGCCAGTACTCCTATAGTGTCTTGAGTCTTAGTTTACTTGTACCTCATGTGTATGATCATATATATAAATGAGGGATTTTTTTGCACTATGATCTGTGTTATATATTGTACTTTAAGCTATGTTAAGTTTTGTTTTGAAGTTGCTTGAGTTGTAAAAGGTGATTTTAAATATTTATTTAGGGATCTCGGCATACAACATGATAGAACCCAAATAAATATTTATAATTTCCTCTATTTTTTAGGGTAGTTGTGAGCATTATTATAATGGCCACTAGTTGGAGTTATTGGTCATAGATTTAGCTTAGATTTTGGAGATTTTGGATTTTTCCAATCCTGTGCTTTATGATATAGACTTATGAGAAAATGTATTATTTTTGGATTTAGTTGATAGTACCAAATATTGGTAGCATCCTGATTCTTAACCACTTGAGAAAGCTTCAATCTGAGTCACTTGAGCTTGTCAGATTTGGTGTGCTAAGATTTGATAGCTTTTCATCATTTGGTTGTTGAAATCGGGTTCATCTACTACAGCCTTTCTTATGGCATTTTGAGTAGATAGAGCTGCCAGTGATCCAGCCATATTTAGGCATGTTGGATCTTATCTTTTACACCCATTCAGGTTTAAGACTTAAGTTATGGGAGATACGCTTCCCAATGCTAAATCTACTAAAGTTGGCATATTGGAAGTCATCCTTTATGGTTGTAGATTTGAAGTCTATGGACATTGGTAATTACTCGTGACTTATCCTTTATATTAGAACTTTGATTCTCTGGTCAATTAGGAGAGTCTTGTGAACTATGACTACTAGAACTCGTCGAGTCAAATTGGCCTTTATTTTTTCTGTAGTCCCTACTGACGGGTTGATGAAGTGGAGGTTTCACTACTGTGACCTTTCTTATGGTTTGCTGAGTAGATATAGTTTCCAGCAATCCGATCATATTTGGGCGTGTTGGATCTGACCTTTTACACCTATTCAAACCTTAAGCTTCAGGATGTCAAAAGACTTTAAGATATTCTGGCTTGACTTATTAAAATGTGCTGTTACAAAAGTCTTATTATTGACTTTCAAACCTCGGTAAGTTGGAAAAGATAGCATCTCAAACTTTTGGAAGATCACTTGTATATACTTTAAAAAAGAACTCATTATATTCTTTAGCATGAAAGAATATTTGCATTGATAATTTTAAATATTTATTCGAGGATCCTGGTATGCAGTGTGATTTCATCTCAAATAAATATTTAAAATGTCCCCTATCTTATAAGGATATTTAAGAATAGAATAAACTTAGAATTTTGAAATTTTAAATATTTATTTGGAGATCTAAGTGTGTAACATGAGGTTAATTCGAATAAATATTAAAATGCCCCATCTTACAGAGAGATTTTTAATGGGCTTTGTATTTTAAGATTTTAAATATTTATTTAGGGATTTCAGTATACAACGTGATGTCAACCTGAATAAATATTAAAAAAGCGACTATCTTGCATGGATATTTTAGAATTGAATAAACTTATAATTTTGAAATTTTAAATATTTATTTGGGGATCTCAGCATATAACATGTTGTCAACCCTAATAAATATTAAAATTCCCCATCTTAAAGAAAGATTTTGAATGGATTTTGTATTTTAAGATTTTAAATATTTATTCGGGAATTTTGGCATGCAGCGTAATATCGACCTGAATAAATATTTAAAATGCCCCCAATTTTATGGTGGATTTTGAAATGCATTCTTGCTACACAAGAGATATTCAACGTATAGATATAAGCATCCATTGATAACTATGCACATAAAACTTTGATCATTATAAAGTACATTGGATATTGAATTTTTATAGATGATATTTCTTTAAATGTTATCTGTTGATCGGTGGCATAGGCCTCTAACCTTCCATATCAATCAAATGATATGCTCCTCCTTTGTACAGCTCAATAACGAAAGGGCCTTCCTAATTGAATATGAACTTACCACTGATTTTTTGGTGTGGAATGATTGATATTATCATCAAAAGGACCAATTCTCCTTCTTGAAATGACAGAGGAAGCACTATTCGATCAAAGGATTTTGCCATTCTTCATTGATAGATTTTAATATTTTATTTAGCTTCTAAACTAAGCTCATTAAGTGTATCGAGCTCTTCCATTCTCAAGCGAGCATTTTATTCTTGAGTGAGATCATTTTGGATCACTACTCAAAGTAATGGTAATTCAACTTCTAGTGGCAATACTGCTTCAACTCTGAACACCACTGAATAAGAAGTGGTTTTGGTTGGAATCTTATAGGTTGTACGGTATGCCATAGCGCTTCTGTCATCTTTGTATGCCAATCTCTTTTATTCTTTGTGAGAATTTTCTTCAATAATTTCACCAATGTCTTGCTGTTGCTAAGCCATTTACTTTTGGGTTGTATATAAATGAGTATCGCTAGTCAATTTAATGCTGATCAATAAACTTATAAATTTTTATACTTTTAAAGTTATACCATTATCTGAGATTATGCGACGTGGCACACCAAGTCTGTAGAAAACATTATGGGTAAGGAAATTAATTACATGTCCAGATGTGACTTTTTTGAATGGAGCTGCTTTTACCCACTTCTAGAAGTAGTCTGTTACTACCAGAATGAAGTGATGTTCTACTAATGATGGTGGATCTATCAGCCCAATTATATCTATGCCTCAACATTCAAATGCTCAGGATACTACTATTAGGTGCAGAGGATTTGGTGGTCGATGTATAACATCACCATGGATTTGACATTCGTGGCACCTCTTTGTATGTTCAATACAATCTCTAACCATGATCAACCAATAGTAACCCATTCTCTTAATTTTAGTAGCCATCTTAGGACCTGACTAATGTGATCCAAAAAGTATTTTATAAATTTCTATTATAACTCTCTCAGCTTCCCTGGTCCTTAGGCACCTTAGCTATATTTGATCAAAAGCTCTTTAGTATAGCATGTCATTGACAAATGCGTATCACAATGCCCTCTTTCTGATTTATACAGCTATAAATTTTTCTGTCAAAATTTTGTTTTCTTTTAAGTAATTGATGAAGGACTGCCTCTAATCATTTTCTTATTCAATATCTAAAAAATACCACCATGACTTTGAAGCTTGACTAGCTTACCATCTCTTGGCCACATGATATCATTATGTATAATTTTTTATAAGATAAAAAGGTTTATTCTCAATCAGGATTATATTTTGCTTACTCGAATCTGGTACATCTTCTACCTTTGAGAATTGTAATAGAGTGGGCTCCAAGACCCAACCGTTGTAAACTCCAGTAAACATAGGTTTCTCCTCA